TCCGAGTTGGTCGTGGGTCCGGGTTAGTATTGTGGCCGACTTGACATGGGTCCGAGTTGGTCGTGGGTCTGAGTTGGCATGGGTCCGAGTTGGTTTGGGTCAGAGTTGACTCGAAACCGGGTCAACCATGGCGGAATAAGAAGTGTTCTTCCATGGGTCAACTGTAGTGCTGCAGTTGGGACTGTCCCAACTATAGTTGGGGCTGACGGTTGACTTGTCTCAACTTTCGAGTTTGCCTAAGTTGAGTTGGCAACGGTCGAGTTGTCCCGACCCAATGTTTTTCAATGGTTCCCTGCCACGTCAAAGGAACAGTCACTGAGTACAAGTTGCAAGGGGTTTATGTAGAGTTATTGTTGATATTGGGCGCAGATGTGCACCGGATGCGTATGATTGCTTGATCTCTCTGCACAATTGATTGATCCTGCATGAAATCTTCAACTTTACTTCCATTTTTTTAAACAAGTGTTTCACCACAATGACTTGAAAATAAAAGGCAAATGGCTGATGGCAGAATTATCAACAAACATGACAAATTGTGCGTTATCATGCAAAGATTGAGCCATCGCACATGTAAAATGGTCATGCCCAACGCTAGTATTAACAGGCTAGGTCTATCCGTGGTAAACCCTGTCAATTGTGCTTTAGGCTATGGTCTAGGCTTGATTACAGTGATACAGTCAACATGACCATTTGCAAACTCGACTTTGACCAACTCCACCATCTGACTGCAAACCTGACCGTCATACCAATCCGACTGTTGACCAACTCCTCTGTTGACTAACTCGACTCCCAACATCAGGTCAACTCAACTGTTTTCTAACTCGCCCGGTGTCCAACATAAAAAAGTTCTCACAACTCAAAGGCGCCATGTGTGCCTTCTAGCGCTGTTACTTTACATGGTGCCAATAAATAGCCATGATTAATGAAATCTAATGAAACGATGAGGAAATTGTTTTGTTTTTTGTCTCTACCTTCCAGACCAGTATTTTGTCTAATGTGGGCTTTTCGTGGTCCATGTACATCTGGGATGCCTGCGAACTTTCATTGAAGTCATTTTGACAACAGCTTTTCTAGCAATAAACAACTTCTTGTACTCACTGAAATCCAGTTTCTTGCCATTCATCCCCATGTTAATTGGGTCGCAGTCTGTATAGTGTAGCATAGTACCTTTTCCAGCATTGTGGCTCTTTGACCAATCATTTCCTGAAGGGGTCATTAGCTCATTGATTTTACTGAACAATATATTATGAAATATAATACCAATCCAACTCTTAGCCCTCCCATCCAGACCTGTCCTTCACTGCACTTTTCACATGGCGCTGACCACAGTGACATTCCCATGGCTGCTGTGTGCCTAAAGCCAAATACATGTACATTTAATTGGGAACATCCACTGTTAATTCAATCTAACCATCTCTGCATTTCACTCCTTTCACCTTAGTGTTTCTGTGTTATCCCAGTATGTTTACTTACATTTACCACATACTTTCTCTTTTTAGAATTGCCATACCTCTTTTGATGAATTGCTGATATCTGTTATTTTCTGCAGGTAACGGAACAAGACATTTCAAAATTGCTATCCTTTTTGAAAGGGCTCTCTGATCAAGTAAGAGCAACTATAAGTTTTTATTCAAATTTGTAAATGGGGAGAATGGTGTGAAATGGAATCTTTGGTAAAATGATACCCGGGTGATATCTCGGATATGGCACACTGTCATACAACTTGGACACTATGGTGTTATTTGTAACAAGCAGTCGGTGTCACTACCGCCATTCTCAAGTCTGGCCTCGTTGAGAACTTCAATAATACCTTGGCCAAAGATAACTCATGTGTAATCAGGGGTCTGTAGGGGAACATGTCCCCCAATGGACCCCCTACATGTTGGACCACCTGGGCTTCTACCTCACTTTTCCCTTCAATGAAGGAATTATTACAGATCACGTACATACATGTACATGTACCTGTATTGTACGTATTCCAATCATGAGCACTGATCAAGTTACACAATAATGAAGACTGGAACACTGTCCATTGTACCTTATTGTGTTATGTTGAATGATCTGATTTACATCAGGTGTCAGATGTGTCCAGCAGTATACAATCTCTGCTCAAGAAAGTAGACAGTGGGGAGATATCAACTTCAAAAGGAATAACATTCCTGGAGGTCAAGTATCATCTCCTGCTGAGGTAAGACTGCAGGTGTTACAAGACGTGGACAATATCTATATTATCATTATAATACAGTTTTGCCAAAGAGTCTCAAATTGCATACTTTTTAACCAGTTATAGTTGGATTTTCTTAATCGAAAAAACTGCTGGGGGGGGTTTTGTTTTTTCCCTGAAATTCTTCAACCGTGTAATTTATTTATGATGCCTATGAGATATGTAAGGAAGCACTGCTCTTAAGTTGGGGCATCAGTATTTTTATTCTTTTCTCCATTTTTTTCCACCGTTCATTGCCACACGTCAACAAGTTCACACATAAAAGGTCTATTGTCAATACAAGCGTACCCATGCCTGTGTGTGTTTTTGCCAATTGTTTGGAGTTGGAGGTGGGCCCACTTAATAGCAGCATCTGCGTGTGAGAGAGTCTTCCATGCTTGACTCAACCAAGCGCGACATGTTAATACGTTAACCACGGAAATGAAAACAGAATTCTTGTTCATGCCCTCCATGGAACAAATAAGGAAAATTGTGTGTGTTTGCACGTCATCAAGTGGTTAAATAATATTGAATATCGGCATGTCGGCAATATTTTCTTTAAATTGACAATTTTCTTTCAACCCGAGTTTTCTAATAAAAAATGATGATATTTTATGTTTTCTCCCTAACGTTTACGGATTTCCATCAACAGCAAAACTAACCTAATTTTACTCTTACACAAGTACATGTATGTATGTAGGTGTCAAAACATTGGGTTGAGTCTCAACTATGGCTTATGAGGACTCCAAAAAACATCAATTGCCAAGCATTTAAGCAAGTCTGACATGAATGGACCGTGTTTGATGTGAAATACAATTTCCAGCTTTTGATAACAGCCTACATGTATGGAAACTTTCTTGAGCAGCACACAGATGCCATTACAGTCATGTACAATTGTAGATACATACATGTAGATGGATATACAGTGCTTTATATTGTACAAGTCTGCATTGTGTTCCTGTAGTAAACACAGCCTTTTAATACTGGTTTTTTTTACATCTGGTACGGAAGTTAACGATGGACATTTATTTTGCCATCACACCAAAAATTCACCAATTAAAATTTCAAATTTAAATGTGATTCCTGTGTACCTTATGGTTGAATTCAAAATTGGGAAAGCCATTTAATGTGATGATTGTACCATTTAGGGATACCTGCCCAACTTCAAGCTTGATGTGTAAAAAAAAATCCCAGCCCTACGTTTCTGTGGTGTGCTCAACTATGTTTTAAGGGACAATTTCTGCAAAGTTTGCATCGTCAATGCCCAAAATATGAAGTTGTTTGTAGGCATTTTTATCAGGTTACACAAGAAAACAAAAAATCTGTCTGTTTCTATTTGTCCATGTACCGGTAGTTGATAAAAGCCATTTTTCCCATCAAGGAGTGGGTTTTTTGGTGGATTTTTTTCATCATATTGATGACATCACCGAGAAAAAAAAATCAACTCCCAAAAAAATCAGTATCACCTGCACCAGTTGTTACAGTGATATGAAGAGGCTCCTCTGCAAATGGATAATTGCTTTACATGTACCTGTACAGTATTGGTCTTAGGGTTTTCTATTTTATGAATCCCATCCTTCAGACGACAGAGTCACAGCAACTGGTCACCATTGATACCAACTAAAAGTGGCCAGTACTCAAGTGGTTCTTCCTGCTGTATGACTTTACTTATTATGCATCTGTATTGATCCTCATTCAAATCCCTCATTACATTGTTATGTGAATTCTGAAGTTCTGATACAAGAAAGTCTTCAGAAAATTTTTAAAAAAAGATTTACATTAGAGCGTACAGTTTCAAGGACAAAAGCAACAAATATCTCATTCCTAATACTGCATGCTTCAACTACTAATTTATTCCAAATTACCTGTATAGATTTAATAGTTTTAATGTTTGTGTCCATTTTTTGTGCAATAACCCCAGTTACCTGATGAATCTGACATACGTCATGTTGCAAAAAACAGAAGGGCGCAAGCTGAGTGGCTGTCCAGCAGTTGACAGACTGGTTGAAATGCGAACAGTTCTGGAGAGAATGCGACCCATTGACCAGAAGCTGCAGTACCAGGTGGATAAGCTTGTCAAGACGGCACTGACTGGGGCCATAGCAGAGAATGATCCCCTGAGATACAGGCCTAACCCTGCCAACCTCAGGAGTAAGGTCAGTAATTACAGAGCTAAGGTTAAGTCTTTGCTGTGGCTGGCATTAATATGTGTACATGTGGAAGCTATCTATTATCATTTACATCCACTCTTCATAGACACATGCATTGTTTGTAGCTACAGCAAGGATGTTGGGCAAAGCTTCAGGGAAGATCACAAAATACAAAAATATGAAATGAAATATGAATATTGCCTCATGAAGGGTTAGGTGATGTGAATTTTACTTGGGAATGTTTTGTGTACAACTACACTGTACCTACTCTTAAATATACGAAAACTCTCTGGCATCTCTTTCTGGTGATTCTTACTGTAAAATACACTTGTTAAACATTAAGATTGTCTGTGCTTTTCTTACTGATGAGGGTCCTGTTGCTGTGAGGTTATCACAGGAGGGTACTGTTCATTCAAGAAGTTTACTGTTCTAACTGTGAACCTAAGATTTGCTCAATTAAGTTTGGATTTTTGCCCTGCTCGACATGTTTTATAACGCTGTATACGCAGTGTTTGCCCCCGAAGGCTTGTGGGGGAAAAACCATAAGTGTACGTACTCGGGTGGGAATCGAACCCACAGTTTCCTGCTTACTAGTGCAGACATCTTAATCACTCGACCACCGAGCTGCTTGGTCGGCAGGCTGGTTTGAGTTAAATGTAGCAGTGGGTGCCGCAAACAACTATTTCCAAGGATGGATTTGTGCCGGGGAGATGTTAATTTATTTTTGGATTTTTGCCTTCCCCCACATGTATTATAACACTGTATATTCAGTGTTTGCCCCCGAAGGCTTGTGAAAAAAAAGGAGAGATTTGCTCATTAAAAATTGTTCAGTGACCTACTGTAATGAATGAAAACAGCAGGGCCAATCAAAGTAAATAGACTTTATGACAGCAAAATAGCCCAAATTCTGGGATGTTGTAGTAAAGAAGTAAATAATAAATCAAGGGTTCTGAGGTTTGTTTTGCCATAAAATTACAAGACATATTGCAGTAACATAAGTAAAGGCAGCAAAAAATAAAACATGTTAAATTGGACTCAAAGTAACATTTTAATGCAAAACTGCCTGACAAATATTATATTGTATGGGGGTTTTTAATTGGGTACATTCTTGCTATTGAAAATAGGTGTACCCATGCATGGCAGTGCTGGGTTATTTGTCTGACACAGTTTGCCTATTTGATCTACAAAGGAGGGTTTTAGATAAAAGGATGTGAGAGGTCTGAGTCACCAGCAGTGCAAAGGAAGAAAGAATTCTAATGATAACGGATTATGCTTGCAACACTTCTCTGGTGTAATGTTAAAACCCTCCTTTGGTTTTACAGCACAAATATGCACAAGTGCCCACAGTCACTCTCTTGCATGCGTTTTCTATATGGAACACAAACATGCACAGGTTCAGTGTGTACACAGTAGGTTGTCAGCACAAATGACCCAGGGTCTTTTGTGCAGTCCTCTTTGCTGCATTTGGTTTACTGCACAGTTATGCACATGAAACAGTGAGGCACAGTTGTTAGACAGCACCAAAGTGCAATCTGATATTCCTGTGAGGGACAGTTGGTGGCAGTGCACAACACGACCTCCTTCTTGGAGGTGTTTACAAAGTGATCCAAAGAGTGACTTCAGCATAGGAGGGTTTTAATGAGTTTAAAAGACATGGAGGAATATTAATTCCTGCAATTCAAGTTACAAGATACATGCCTATCATTTGTTGATAAATTTTGTTTTCCAGCCACACGTTGCTTACACTAAGCGCTAATATGGATATGTAAAATGTTGATGGTGCATTTTACTGTATTGCACAAGGCTAATAATTATGCAGCCTACAGGCTTTGATGTTTAATACATGGCACCATGTTTACAGCAGTTAGCCCAATGTACCATTTATATGTATCCCACATGTACCTTTTACATGTACTTAAACTCTGCCCGTGATGTCACCCTGTTGTCCTAGCGATGCATTATTGTGCATGAATGGCATGTTGGAGAAATGTACCCAAAAGAGGAAAGTGCCATTCACGCAACAAAAAAATGGAGCAAAGGAACAATATCAGGATTTACAACAAAACCAGATTAAAAATTAACCACCAAATTACCATAATAATCTTGACATCTCGAGTAAGCGTGAGATTCTTTAATAAATATGTAAACACTGTGAGGTAATTTTAGTCAAAATATTAAACTGGCTTCTGAAACTTCTACAAAATTCAAGCAATAAGTGAAATACATGTGACACACTGCACAAAAATGTGTAAATAGCAAGGAGCTAAAACTGAAAGACATTTCCACTTTCAATATGCTACTTGACGTACTTCAAGATTATCGATTTACGCCGCCTTGCAGCAATAATCCTTGCATGACATAGTTTGCTTTGCATTTCAAGGAGCCACTCCTCCTCTGGTAGCTTCTCACTGCATTGGATCTACATCCTGTAACCTCGCAAATAAGTTGTTCGTCCACTTCATTTTCAAACATCCGTGTTGCAGCGCTTGCATGCAAGGAGTGATTGGTTCTGTATCCTGGTATGCCTACTTGCCTGCAGAGACCTGCAATAACTGTAGACAGTTCGTGACGACCCAGTTGTTGTCCTGTGTATCAAACCTGACCACATGCTTTGGCAAGTGGACAAAGGCAAAATGTGTTTGTTGATCTCTTTCAGGGCAGTATTGCAGATATTTCACACATACACGTAATAGTCTTTTGACACAAAATAGAGAAGGGTTGCGCTGTTCTCGATAGCATTGATGATCTTCGGCTAAATTTTCCTGTGTGTGAGTCCTCCCTGGTTGGCTTTGGATATTTCTTCAGAATACTGCAGGATCCTTTTACTATTTTTGTCGGTGATGAATGTAAGAAGTTTGCTTGAAGAAGTGTTTCGTCTGAAATATCTGACATAATCAGCTGGTAGGAAAATTTTGACAGGTCATCTTGTGGCGTCTTTCTAGGATTTTAGGGGGCCTCTTTATTGTCTTCACAGTGGTGTCATGATCGCTAGGCTCTTCCTTTGGGCAGCTGGGAGTGCCGGTGGAATTCAATGTGCTGAAATCATCCTGTGTTCCATCACTGTAAGACGACCGAAAGGTGGATTGGGTTAGGAGAAGCTCCCTTTTGGATGAAATTAAGCCGAGAAGAGCTTTCCAACTTCATGTACATGTATGCCCCTACAACACAAAGCTTTCTTTGTGACGATAAAGAATGGTCTGATTCATAGGGAAAGAATTCATTCTGAACCCAGCGTGAAGGCAGCTTTGTTATTTTATGTAATATGATGCTCAAAAATTCCAACACTTCTAAAGAACAAGAGTGTACCATTAGTGCAAAATATTGAAGTGCTAGGACCAAAGGGGACATCACTGGTGGATTTAAATTTGATAATGCTGCTCGGTAATGCACCATTCATTGGCAAGAATGGCCTGAGGGCGAAACCCATTCTCATCTTTGAATGGCACATTCCTCGGGCATTACCCTTTTCTTATACATGTAGCATGCTTTGAAAGGGTACTGACTTGCCTTACATGATTCTCTTGCAAACCCTGGCCACAATTAGGTTTTGCATTTACACGTACATGTATATTAAATTCTTTTAACAAACATGCAAGATGCTATGTGTGTACCCCGTGGCACGTACCCAGTGAAATGCTCTAGTTCATGTTGATTTTGCAGCTGGAGGAAGAAGAGAATCAAGATGAAAGCAGTGAGGAGGAAGAGGAGGAAGCAAAGCCCAAGAAATATGTCCCACCGAAGGTAGTTGCTATGCACTATGGTGAGTCACCTTCACCAACAGTCTTCAGTCCTTAGATTTCAATAGGATTTTACATACACCTTAGGGGATTAGGGTTTAGTGTTTCAAGAAAAGTTCAGTGCTACCCTCCAGGGTCGGCATTGAGGCTCTAACCCATTTCCTCTCTTCAGGCAACGCCACCAGTTTAGTGGTTGGAATTAGAACCTTGCATTTTGTAGGCCCTAGGCGTCGTGCCTGTTGTACTTACTGGATAATCTGGCCTTGGACATCATAGATCGATTGTGATGAAGGCCAATTAGATTTGGTTTAAAATGGGAAACTGTATTTTGGGTTTGTTTTGGATTTTGAATATGATCACAAACTGTAATACATTTATTTACACATGTGTACGTACATGTAATAGGTTTTTCTTCTTTTCTGTACTCGTCATCTCTTTAGATATGTGGATAGTGCAGTAACAATGATACAGTTTCTTCATGTATTTGATGATTTATTAATTTACAAATAATACAATTTGTCTCATATGCTATTTCCAAGATGGTGACGAGACAGTGAAACAGCGGCAAGAGAAACAACTGGAGAAAGCAAAGAAGAGAGCTCTGAGCAGCGCCCTCATGCAGGAACTCAAGGGTAATGTTGAAAATGTCCAGATAAAATGGAAGGATACACTGAATGGTATTTGCTGTGGTAGCAAATATATACTGGTACTCTGTGATAATGACCTCAGGGATAAACGATAGAGAGGGTAATGATGACTGAACAAACTGACTGACTGGTGAAATGGAGGCTATTGGTTCCAATAAGAAGTGGTCCTGTATGTTTAGTGTGGCATATAGCAGTTGGTACCACCCTGTGTGCTCGCACTGCATGTCCCAACCAAAGGGACATCATTTCTAAGCTATTTCTTGTGACATATGGAGTGGACAGCATGATTTTTATCTTTAATACAAAACTCAAAAAATGTATGTCTACAGTTGTAGTTTCATACCCAGGCTAATTCTGCCGTCTCTTTGGAAATGTCCTGAATACCACCATCACTGATTGTATTTTGGATCAGTTTATTTACAGATAGTTCTCCATGGTATAATGTAATTTGGTTCCAGCTCATTATGACAGCAAACGCTACTTACCAAATATTTTAACTTGAAGGACTTTATCTCTTTTTTGGCACCTTGTCATTCCAGGAGAATACTTTGATGGTCCTGAAGAAGTTAGAGTAAGTTGCATTTTTTTAGTATTGAAATGAAATGATATTATTTGTTGACTTCAGACCAAAGCAATTATTATTTCAGAAGGTGCAAATACAGTCCACCTTCCCCAACTACGGTGGAAGTAGGCCATTTTAGTTTGGGATATTATTCCATCACTGAACATTTAGGGTAGTAAAATTTATATCGCTACAGTG